GTATTGATAAAGTATCGATTTGCGGTAATTGGTGATAAAGGGACATGTTTTCACTTCATGGTTAATATTTAAGTTCTTAACATTGGCTGATTACTTTTGACATTATTTCTTGGTATCAGGTAGAAATCTCCTCATACTTGATGATGATTTAAGGCTGGAAAGGTTTTGAAAAAAGTCTGTAGAGTATGATGTGAAGGCTGCAGCAAGATATTTAATTTGAAAAGCTAGATTGACACATAAAGCCTTCTGCACCTCCTGCGATTTATAAAGCCATATTGCGATATTGATAAGATTTGGAATAATTGTTCCGCCCTGTTATGATTATGTCTTTCTCACTTATTCTCTTCCACTAATGAGCCGATCACAGAGTTCAGCTACGCGTCCTCCATCTCTACCCGGAAAAGGCAAATACAAACTTCTTCCTTCAGCAGGAGAGGTCAGATAAATGTTACAGCATCTTTTACATCATTCGTCTTTGGCGTAAGGTCACGAACACTCGTTACATTCCTGACTGTCTCCGATAGAAATCTCAAGGCGGGTTAGAAAAATAAAAACCTGATCCAGCACTCCTTCCAGTTCACGTCCAGCCTGAAGTCCAACAAGAATCTCATCGTTAGAAAATCCAGAACGCGTTTGTCACGTCAGCGAAGGAGCTTCCTTCGATCCAGCAACAAGAATTTTAAGATTTTAGAGCAAAGCTAAAATACAATCCCTGCGGCAAAAACAAGTCTGAGATTTCAAGAATAAAGTCCAAATATTTATAATTTTAAAACTCAAAGATCGTAGAGAACAAAGCTGGAATATTTTGGTTGTAATCTTCTGATTATAAAGTTGTAATGTTGTCACTTTTTGAAAGTACTTTATCGAAATGTTACAACTTTATTCTGAAAAAATAAAATATAAATATTTATATATTGTTTTCTCCAATTTTTCAACTTCATTTTAAAAATCTCAGACAGGTTTCGGCCGCCACTTGGTCCGACAGCTGTTCATCTTCCACGTCCTTAATCTCAAGTCTTAACTTCGACTGTTCACGTGTTTCAGATCTCTGAACTCCGACTCCACGAAAAAAGATTTGCAGGACTGAAGAAAAAAAGAAAATATGTTATTTTGCTAAAACATCTGGAGCCTAAAAAAGATTTCTCATTTCCAGAGGAGCCTGTTCCGGGTCCTGCAGAGGGCCCTGGACCACAGTTTGGGAACCACTCTGCTAATTAGTCTTTACTTTGAGAAACACAGGTTTGATTCCCGTCCCAGGTTCCTCGAGCAAGGCACTGACCCCCTGCTGGCTCCAGGGGGCGCCGCATCGTCGACACCAAGACACTTTAATGTGACATCATCTCCGGCAGCCGTCGGTCGAAGTTCGGCGCTGCTGAGCAAGGCACTGAGCTTTTATTTACAGGGTTCAGAGAGAAATCCGATGACCGAGTGCAAACTGGATAATTAAGTCATCATCATCTTCGTCACTGACGTTCGAGAGTTTGTCAGACAAACTCACGTCCTCCACGCCGAGTTACAGCGGGGACGAGTCGACTTTGTGAGGGTTTGCGGGTCGAAGCGGAGGAGCAGGAGGAGGTCGTCTGCAGAGACAGGAGACAAACATCAGAGAGTATCTTTAGGTTTCAGACTGCAGGTGGGAAAGAACAAGGCGTTACATATGACTGACCCAATAATCAGCTGATTGTTTATGTCTGCCTTGAAACTGGTCGCTGTAAACGGTCACGCTCAGTTTGTAGCTCAGCTATCACAGATTTTTTAACCTGCCAAACGTTAACGTTTAAAGATGTGTATAAAATATAAAAACCTTAGGCCGGTGTAGTTGCATTATGTCATCTCATTTAAAATGATTCGTCATTTTTTATTCATATAATTGGTTATGAAAATGAACAGAAAAACTAAAGTGGTGGATTTTTGTTTTTGATTTGGCAGAAACGAGCTTCCGTAGGGAGCTCCTCTTACTCTTCTTGCTCCTTTAGTTGCAAATGAAATGTTATTTTATTCCTGTCTTAATGGGGAAAAAGTCTCAGAGCTTTTGGGTCATTCTGGAATTTATCTGTGACGTTATTTTACAGCTTTGTCCAACAAACAAACGCAAACATCTGAATCTCAGCGGGACAGCGAACCTGCTGGGACCGGCTGCAGGTGCGACGGCTCCGTGGTGCGGCGGTTTGGTGTTGGCTGGGTAGCCGGGGTGAGGGGGGATGTGGGGGTGGCACGGCGGGGGCAGGAGGCGGGGCTTGATGGGCACCACAGGTTTGGATGGAACAGAGACCTGAGGAGAGAATCATGGGAAAAAAAAAACATGAACGTCTGAAACAGAAAGCTGCGTTCAAGTTTCCTGCCAACAGTAAAGTTTTTACTCATATCACAGCAACATAAACACAAGTTAAAGTTTGTGCTCATTTTCTAATTGATAAATTTCAATGACCAGTTCAAATTTAGAAACCCTGCGTCGCTTCATTAGCAGGTGTACTGAGAGTGAAACGCTCATGTCTCACTCGCCGCTCTGCTGCTTTCATCAGTTAAACTCAACACGCCTGCTAACTACGTTCCAAATTTAAAGTCTACAATCTTTCGTAGTGAACCTTTAAAGTGAAACGTCTGCAGGGAGAACTGATGTTCAAGAAAAAGCTCCACCGTGGAACTGAATGGAATGAATAGGTGAAAACTGAGCGGAGCGCCGAGTGCGACAGGACGTGATGGAGTTACAGGTAACGGGTCAGAAATGATAGTTCAGGTAACTCCATCCCTCTCAGTGCAACCAGCAACTGGCACGTCTGATGTTCACTCCTGTTCCTGAACGCCCCACGCCTGCCAGGGCTCATCTCCAAATCAGTCACCTCTGATTGGCTCCTGATTCAACCAGTTAAATCACCAGATCTCAATAATCAATAGTCTGATCACGACTCTGTCTACATGCTACCTGCTGCCAGGTGTGGTGTACCTGTCCAGGTGTGACGGGGTCAGGTGGGAGTGGCTTGTTGGGTGGCGCTGGTCGGCTCACCAGCAGCTGGAAGGTTAGTGAGGAGGAGAGAAGCTTCAGAACACTTCCTGTTTAGTAAAGTCAGGAAACAGGAAGCAGCGTGCGGCGACAGCGTCTATTCTACGTCTCCTGCTCGTTCAAACATCAATGAAACTAAACTTTTATTATCATTATTATTGTTATCAGTGCTGCATGCAGACAGAAACAGAACAGACTGAACATCATGCAGTAAAGTCCCGGCCACACCAGATTACACACAGCTGCTGGAAAACTGAGCTCCTTATGACTCGACCAGTGAAACGATTTCATGATAAAATCGCCACGGCGACCACCATCAGCGCCTCTGTCAGGCCTGACATGACTCACCTATGAAGCCTCACAGTAATCCGGCGGTCGATTATTATTAATTTGTCCTTTTTTGCGCTCCTACATTTCTTTACGGCTCTCTGCGACCACATTTCGCTCCGTCGGTTGCAGGCTGCATATCATCAGGGAGCGTTTCAGAAACAGGGCGTTTTGTCTGACTTCCTGCCGGGCTCGATCTGCTCTTGCGTCCAGAATAGACCTGGTACCTCTCTGCGGAGCGGAGACACGCTTCTCGTCTGGTGGACTCACAAGCATCGATTATAACGGCTGCGATTAGCTCCGGCAACCGCGGCGCAGCCGGAGTCAGTGGACTTGAGGTGTCAGACGTATCTAATATGTAATTAAAACCGGAATAACTTGAGTTTGGATGTAAACTGAAATTTGACCTTTCAATGGACACATGATTCGACCCAACAGGAGCTCACGTGTCCCGTCCACAGCCTACAGTAGCCAACCATGCCCGAGCTGTAGGAAGGGCCAGCGCCTGTCATTTCGTGAGTAGGCAGAGCCAATTGCCTCGCTTCGCTAAGCCACGCCCCAAATACACTTCTGGCCAATCACAGCCCAGTATAGGTCTCACTCTGAGCTCCGACTCTTTCATGGCTGCGCTCCAGTGACTCGAATGCAGAAAGAGTTGTTTTCTAGCTTTTTCTGGCTGTATGTTTCTAAGATCTGGTCAAACGCTGCTCCTGGAGCATCTTGTAATAATTACAGCAGCTACCAGAGAGTCTGGAAGGAGAAGGACGGTTTATTCTCTTTCCAAAACCTGAAACAAATCCAGAAAAAAGTTGGCTTATTCCTAATGTGATGTTAGTTAGCTAACGCTGGCTAACTTCCTACTGAATGCAACGTTATATAAACCCGCTGCTTTTGCATTTTAATGATTAGTGAATAGAGCAGCTGTACAGGAACAGCGTTGATCCTTAATATCGTTGTCGGGGGTGCACTGGTTCACTTGTACTGTGTGATCGGTAGATTTTAGCTTCTATCTTTCATTTTTTCCCGACCGTTTGAGTCAGTTTGACAGCCTGAATAAAACCTTCTAATGTTTAATGCAACTTACATCATTATGAAGAACCAATGGGCTCGCAGCAGAGAGCCACAGACAGGAAGTCAGACTGGACTGAGGGACGCAGTTTGTGAACCATGACAAAAACTGATTTTCACAGTGCTGGTTTCTGGTGTGACCGGGTCCTGATAAAGAACTGTTGCTGAGCTCCTCCAGCCAGCAGGTGGAGCTGCAGCCTACACAGCCACACTACAGGTAACACAGCCACACTACAGGTAACACAGCAGGTAACACTGCCACACTACAGGTAACACAGCCACACTACAGGTAACACAGCAGGTAACACAGCCACACTACAGGTAACACTACAGGTAACACTACAGGTAACACTACAGGTAACACTACAGGTAACACAGCCACACTACAGGTAACACTACAGGTAACACTACAGGTAACACAGCCACACTACAGGTAACACTACAGGTAACACTACAGGTAACACTACAGGTAACACTACAGGTAACACAGCCACACTACAGGTAACACAGCCACACTACAGGTAACACAGCCACACTACAGGTAACACAGCCACACTACAGGTAACACAGCCACACTACAGGTAACACAGCAGGTAACACTGCCACACTACAGGTAACACAGCAGGTAACACTGCCACACTACAGGTAACACAGCAGGTAACACTGCCACACTACAGGTAACACAGCAGGTAACACTGCCACACTACAGGTAACACAGCAGGTAACACTGCCACACTACAGGTAACACAGCAGGTAACACTGCCACACTACAGGTAACACAGCAGGTAACACTGCCACACTACAGGTAACACAGCCACACTACAGGTAACACAGCCACACTACAGGTAACACAGCCACACTACAGGTAACACAGCCACACTACAGGTAACACAGCAGGTAACACAGCCACACTACAGGTAACACAGCCACACTACAGGTAACACAGCCACACTACAGGTAACACAGCCACACTACAGGTAACACAGCAGGTAACACTGCCACACTACAGGTAACACAGCCACACTACAGGTAACACAGCCACACTACAGGTAACACAGCAGGTAACACTGCCACACTACAGGTAACACTACAGGTAACACTACAGGTAACACTACAGGTAACACTGCCACACTACAGGTAACACTACAGGTAACACTGCCACACTACAGGTAACACTACAGGTAACACTACAGGTAACACTACAGGTAACACTACAGGTAACACTACAGGTAACACTGCCACACTACAGGTAACACTGCCACACTACAGGTAACACTACAGGTAACACTGCCACACTACAGGTAACACAGCAGGTAACACTGCCACACTACAGGTAACACTGCCACACTACAGGTAACACAGCAGGTAACACTGCCACACTACAGGTAACACAGCAGGTAACACTGCCACACTACAGGTAACACAGCAGGTAACACTGCCACACTACAGGTAACACAGCAGGTAACACTGCCACACTACAGGTAACACAGCAGGTAACACTGCCACACTACAGGTAACACAGCCACACTACAGGTAACACTGCCACACTACAGGTAACACAGCCACACTACAGGTAACACAGCCACACTACAGGTAACACTACAGGTAACACAGCCACACTACAGGTAACACTACAGGTAACACAGCCACACTACAGGTAACACTACAGGTAACACTGCCACACTACAGGTAACACTGCCACACTACAGGTAACACTACAGGTAACACTGCCACACTACAGGTAACACTACAGGTAACACTGCCACACTACAGGTAACACTACAGGTAACACTGCCACACTACAGGTAACACTACAGGTAACACTGCCACACTACAGGTAACACTACAGGTAACACTGCCACACTACAGGTAACACTACAGGTAACACTGCCACACTACAGGTAACACTACAGGTAACACTGCCACACTACAGGTAACACTACAGGTAACACTGCCACACTACAGGTAACACTACAGGTAACACTGCCACACTACAGGTAACACTGCCACACTACAGGTAACACAGCAGGTAACACTACCACACTACAGGTAACACTACAGGTAACACTACAGGTAACACTACCACACTACAGGTAACACTACAGGTAACACTGCCACACTACAGGTAACACTGCCACACTACAGGTAACACTGCCACACTACAGGTAACACTACCACACTACAGGTAACACTACAGGTAACACTGCCACACTACAGGTAACACTACAGGTAACACAGCCACACTACAGGTAACACTACAGGTAACACAGCCACACTACAGGTAACACTACAGGTAACACTGCCACACTACAGGTAACACTACAGGTAACACTGCCACACTACAGGTAACACTACAGGTAACACTGCCACACTACAGGTAACACTACAGGTAACACTGCCACACTACAGGTAACACTGCCACACTACAGGTAACACAGCAGGTAACACTACCACACTACAGGTAACACTACAGGTAACACAGCAGGTAACACTACCACACTACAGGTAACACTACAGGTAACACTGCCACACTACAGGTAACACAGCAGGTAACACTACCACACTACAGGTAACACTACAGGTAACACTGCCACACTACAGGTAACACAGCAGGTAACACTACCACACTACAGGTAACACTACCACACTACAGGTAACACTGCCACACTACAGGTAACACTGCCACACTACAGGTAACACTACCACACTACAGGTAACACTACCACACTACAGGTAACACTACAGGTAACACTGCCACACTACAGGTAACACAGCAGGTAACACTGCCACACTACAGGTAACACAGCAGGTAACACTGCCACACTACAGGTAACACAGCAGGTAACACTGCCACACTACAGGTAACACTGCCACACTACAGGTAACACTACAGGTAACACTGCCACACTACAGGTAACACTGCCACACTACAGGTAACACAGCAGGTAACACTACCACACTACAGGTAACACAGCCACACTACAGGTAACACAGCAGGTAACACAGCCACACTACAGGTAACACAGCAGGTAACACAGCCACACTACAGGTAACACAGCAGGTAACACTACCACACTACAGGTAACACAGCAGGTAACACTGCCACACTACAGGTAACACAGCAGGTAACACTGCCACACTACAGGTAACACAGCAGGTAACACTGCCACACTACAGGTAACACAGCAGGTAACACTGCCACACTACAGGTAACACAGCAGGTAACACTGCCACACTACAGGTAACACAGCAGGTAACACTGCCACACTACAGGTAACACTGCAGGTAACACTGCCACACTACAGGTAACACTACAGGTAACACTACAGGTAACACTGCCACACTACAGGTAACACTGCCACACTACAGGTAACACTACAGGTAACACTACAGGTAACACTACAGGTAACACTACAGGTAACACTGCAGGTAACACTACAGGTAACACTGCAGGTAACACTACAGGTAACACTGCAGGTAACACTACAGGTAACACTGCCACACTACAGGTAACACTGCCACACTACAGGTAACACAGCAGGTAACACTGCCACACTACAGGTAACACTACAGGTAACACAGCCACACTACAGGTAACACAGCAGGTAACACTGCCACACTACAGGTAACACAGCAGGTAACACTGCCACATTACAGGTAACACTGCCACACTACAGGTAACACTACAGGTAACACTGCCACACTACAGGTAACACTACAGGTAACACTGCCACACTACAGGTAACACTACAGGTAACACAGCCACACTACAGGTAACACAGCAGGTAACACTGCCACACTACAGGTAACACTGCCACACTACAGGTAACACTGCCACACTACAGGTAACACTGCCACACTACAGGTAACACTGCCACACTACAGGTAACACTGCCACACTACAGGTAACACAGCAGGTAACACTGCCACACTACAGGTAACACTGCCACACTACAGGTAACACAGCCACACTACAGGTAACACAGCCACACTACAGGTAACACAGCAGGTAACACAGCCACACTACAGGTAACACAGCCACACTACAGGTAACACAGCAGGTAACACTGCCACACTACAGGTAACACTGCCACACTACAGGTAACACTACAGGTAACACTACAGGTAACACTACAGGTAACACTACAGGTAACACTGCCACACTACAGGTAACACTGCCACACTACAGGTAACACTGCCACACTACAGGTAACACTGCAGGTAACACTACAGGTAACACTGCCACACTACAGGTAACACTGCCACACTACAGGTAACACAGCAGGTAACACTGCCACACTACAGGTAACACTACAGGTAACACTGCCACACTACAGGTAACACAGCCACACTACAGGTAACACAGCAGGTAACACTGCCACACTACAGGTAACACTGCCACACTACAGGTAACACTGCCACACTACAGGTAACACAGCCACACTACAGGTAACACAGCAGGTAACACTGCCACACTACAGGTAACACAGCAGGTAACACTGCCACACTACAGGTAACACTGCCACACTACAGGTAACACAGCAGGTAACACTGCCACACTACAGGTAACACAGCAGGTAACACTGCCACACTACAGGTAACACAGCAGGTAACACTGCCACACTACAGGTAACACAGCAGGTAACACTGCCACACTACAGGTAACACGGTAACACAGCAGGTAACACTGCCACACTACAGGTAACACTGCCACACTACAGGTAACACTACAGGTAACACTACAGGTAACACAGCAGGTAACACTGCCACACTACAGGTAACACGGTAACACAGCAGGTAACACTGCCACACTACAGGTAACACTGCCACACTACAGGTAACACTACAGGTAACACTACAGGTAACACAGCCACACTACAGGTAACACAGCCACACTACAGGTAACACAGCCACACTACAGGTAACACAGCCACACTACAGGTAACACAGCCACACTACAGGTAACACAGCCACACTACAGGTAACACTGCCACACTACAGGTAACACTACAGGTAACACTGCCACACTACAGGTAACACAGCAGGTAACACAGCAGGTAACACTGCCACACTACAGGTAACACTACAGGTAACACTGCCACACTACAGGTAACACTACAGGTAACACTGCCACACTACAGGTAACACTGCCACACAGCAGGTAACACAGCAGGTAACACTGCCACACTACAGGTAACACAGCAGGTAACACTACCACACTACAGGTAACACAGCAGGTAACACTACCACAC